AAGTAAAATTATGCGTCGCAAAGAAATGTTACTTTCGCGTTAGTTCAAAACTTAGACAAAAAGAAAATTCCATAGAGACACAGGTTACTATGTAAAAGATAAAAACTTGTATTTTGCAATACCTACTGATTTTTATTATGTTAATCTAGAACAAATTGAATGACGAAAAATAATCTCTAAAAAAGCACTTACCGTTTCCTTCAGACGTTCCCCTATTGTTATGCTACTGGCTTTGCGAGTTATTAGTGGGAGATTTGGAGGCAATTTCGTTTGGGCGTCAATTCTTTAGGAATTTGGATTAAGTACTTTGCTCTTTACATCATGCTTCTATGTTCCTTCAGTGCTGATTATTTATAATACGATAATATTAAAACGCTGATAAGATTACGACGAAAATATGACAGGCGGTCTATCTCGTGGTCTAATATAAATAAACAAACCCGACCTCAAAAAAAATATTTCAAAACAAATTAATATGCACTAAGAAGTAAAAAAAAAATATTAAGTGTTCTGGTACAGTTCAATAATCAACTTACTTTTTCTACTCGTAAATATGTAGGTACGATCTACGTGTTTATTACTTGAAAGTCAATCAACTTATTACGATAATATAATGTAAAGTAAAGTAACAGCCTATACATGTCCCACTGCTGGGCAAAGGCCTCCTCTATATAGAGGGTATCAGGGCATAGTCCACTACGCGGCCCCACTGCGGATTGGCGGACTTCATATATCTTCGAAATATATATTTTTTTATTACTATTTCGAAAATATGCAGGTTTCCTCACGATGTTTTCCTTCACCGCGGAGCACGTGATAAGTCAGCACTTAAAGTTAAAACCTCATTGGTGCCGGCACCGGGGATCGAGGAACTCATGTTGCTCGAGTATATTGAATTAAAGGCGAGCGCCCAGACACTGTGCTATCACGGCTCTTAATATAATGTAAATAAATTTATTGTTATTTTTGGAGTCGTTAATCCGTTAAGGAGTTCCATTGATCGTCATATTCGATTACAGCAATTACTTCACCATAACGACGTTACGATAGCTGACTCAAATATCTGTAAAGCCTATGGGAGATTCAGCCGAGCATCGTTAATTTGCTCCTAAGAATTGAAGAGGTGCGTTACTTTGTCATAGATTCCATAATCAGAACCAAATTCTCACCAAAATGCTCTTGAAGTTCCTTTTCAATAAAAAAAAGAATCAAAGAAATCGATTAGCGTAATATTTTGAATTATTCGGGCCTAGATTGTTTATTTAATATATAACAAGTAACTGTAATTTTATTTAACCGCCTTTTTGAAGATTTAAAAAATAAAACTGCTCTATTTAAATATTCCTATGTCCTCACAAAACTAAAAGATAAATAACAAAAATATATCTTTTTTTTTTAAAAAACGTTGCCTTTAGGGTAATTTTAATCCTGTGTTGTAAGGACGTTTTACAAACATAAATTTCACGCGGACAAACACCCAGATGCGAAACAACCGTCTGTGGGTCACACAAATAGTTTTCTCGTGTGGGGATCGAACCCACGACCCTCGACGCCGAAGCCTTTTTAATAACTTGTCAACTGCGCCACGGAGTCATCAAATTGTGATTGATTCAACGGTGATAATTTTGTAGGTTAAAAAATCATATGTTTAAAAAAAAAAAAAAAAAAACTGATTTTTATAATATGTTTTACTGTCTTTTTGTTAACACTTCACTATCCCGGCATCCCGAGATTAACTGTAGATAATCCCGAAATCCCGGGATTAGAGAAATCGACCAGGATTGAATCCTCTACGTTAAGCTCAGTGGCTAGACCGTCGAGCGTGTAGGCCGGAGGACGCAGGTACGGATCCTCACGGCGATGATGTAGTTTTCGTCAATTTTATTACAAATTTAAATGCAGATTACAATATATCAGAGATATTATCGAGCTCCGTAACAGTAACGGATATTCGAAATAGTTATATCGCTTATATTAATATTAATTGATTTAAATATAATGTATTAATTGATAGAAATAACGTATCTCACGTAATACGTTTTTCCCAGCCGAGCCGACTCTGTAACCACTTCTATTGCACTGTTCACCGAACATGTTCTTGTCAATAGTCTAGATGAATCGTAGTTTTTCGATTTTTGAAATACTTTATCTATGATAATAATCTTTTAATCCCTCATTTAAAGTACAATTTTAATTAACAATTCCTTAAATATCTACTATCCATAAATGAAACTATCCGACACTATCGGATAATCCGACATGACTTCATATCCGTAACCGCAACCGAAATCAGTTTAAAAATGTTCGTATGTCTATAAAAAGAAGTAAAAGTAAAGTAACAGCCTATACATGTCCCACTGCTGGGTAAAGGCCTCCTCTATACAAAGGGTATCAGGGCATAGTCCACCACGCGGCCCCACTGCGGATTGGCGGACTTCACATATCTTCGAAATATTTTTTTTTTTATTATTTCGAAAATATGCAGGTTTCCTCACGATGTTTTCCTTCACCGCGGAGCACGTGATAAGTATCAGCACTTAAAGTTAAAAACTTCATTGGTACCGGCACCGGGGATCGAACTCAGGTTGCTCGAGTATATAGAATTAAAGGCGAGCGCCCGGACACTGAGCTATCACGGCTCTTAATAAATGTAAATAAATTTATTGTTATTTTGGAGTCGTTAAAATCCGTTAAGGAGTTCCATTGATCGTCATATTCGATTACAGCAATTACTTGACCATAACGAACGTTACGATAGGTGACTCAAATATCTGTAAAGCCTATGGGAGATTCAGCCGAGCATCGTTAATTTGCTCCTAAGAATTGAAGAGGTGCGTTACTTTGTCATAGATTCCATAATCAGAACCAAATTCTCACCAAAATGCTCTTGAAGTTCCTTTTCAATAAAAAAAGAATCAAAGAAATCGATTAGCGTAATATTTTGAATTATTCGGGCCTAGATTGTTTATTTAATATATAACAAGTAACTGTAATTTTATTTACCGCCTTTTGAAGATTTAAAAAAATAAAACTTTCGTATTTTAAATATTCCTATGTCCTCACAAAACTAAAAGATAAATAACAAAAATATATCTTTTAAAAAACGTTGCCTTAGGGTAATTTTAATCCTGTGTTGTAAGGACGTTTTACAAACATAAATTTCACGCGGACAAACACCCAGATGCGAAACAACCGTCTGTGGGTACACAAATAGTTTTCTCGTGTGGGGATCGAACCCACGACCCTCGACGCCGAAGCCTTTTTAATAACTTGTCAACTGCGCCACGGAGTCATCAAATTGTGATTGATTCAACGGTGATAATTTTGTAGGTTAAAAAATCATATGTTTAAAAAAAAAAAAAAAAAACTGATTTTTATAATATGTTTTACTGTCTTTTTGTTAACACTTCACTATCCCGGCATCCCGAGATTAACTGTAGTATAATCCCGAAATCCCGGGATTAGAGAAATCGACCAGGATTGAATCCTCTACGTTAAGCTCAGTGGCTAGACCGTCGAGCGTGTAGGCCGGAGGACGCAGGTACGGATCCTCACGGCGATGATGTAGTTTTCGTCAATTTTATTACAAATTTTAAATGCAGATTACAATATATCAGAGATATTATCGAGCTCCGTAACAGTAACGGATATTCGAAATAGTTATATCGCTTATATTAATATTAATTGATTTAAATATAATGTATTAATTGATAGAAATAACGTATCTCACGTAATACGTTTTTCCCAGCCGAGCCGACTCTGTAACCACTTCTATTGCACTGTTCACCGAACATGTTCTTGTCAAATAGTCTAGATGAATCGTAGTTTTTCGATTTTTGAAATACTTTATCTATGATAATAATCTTTTAATCCCTCATTTAAAGTACAATTTTAATTAACAATTCCTTAAATATCTACTATCCATAAATGAAACTATCCGACACTATCGGATAATCCGACATGACTTCATATCCGTAACCGCAACCGAAATCAGTTTAAAAATGTTCGTATGTCTATAAAAAGAAGTAAAAGTAAAGTAACAGCCTATACATGTCCCACTGCTGGGTAAAGGCCTCCTCTATACAAAGGGTATCAGGGCATAGTCCACCACGCGGCCCCACTGCGGATTGGCGGACTTCACATATCTTCGAAATACATTTTTTTTTGTTATTATTTCGAAAATATGCAGGTTTCCTCACGATGTTTTCCTTCACCGCGGAGCACGTGATAATTCAGCACTTAAAGTTAAAAACTTCATTGATACCGGCACCGGGGATCGAACTCAGGTTGCTCGAGTATATATTGAATTAAAGGCGAGCGCCCGGACACTGAGCTATCACGGCTCTATAAACCGATCCATTACATATCTAAAACATCCCTACAATGTACATATTACTTACAAGAGAATAGCGCTTAAACGCGGCTTATAAGTTGCATCCACTCAAATCTAATGTCTGTTTGTAGTTTCGTATCGAATTATGCTGTAATTAATTGGAAGGAAAAACAGGGGTAGCATAACCACCTCATAAAATAGTAAAATTCAAGCTTGTATATCTGTGGCCTGTCCGGATCACAAATTTTTATGTTGTGCTCCGACTGTCCTCTGGCGGTAGTTATCACTTACCCGCTTGCCATCTAGTACAGATATAGTATAAGTATGAAATAAATATACACATAACTTCGATAGACATATCACTTCGATTTCACCCTTAAACCTAATGACAAGGCAAATTAATCGAGAAGCAGATGCACAACACCGATTGCTACTGAATCTCCGGGGAACGGTGGAATTTCATCGCATCTATGCAGGGGCCGTACTTCAATCGTACGCCCTACTTGCGGCGTTGTTCTTGGCTAATAGGTATTCCGTTCAATGCTGTGATTTTAAAACACTCATCATTTGGAGGCGGACGGTCATACGGATCGCACGTGGGTATAGAATAATACCCCTTGAGACGGCAAATGTTCTGGTACATTACTACCTCTAGACTATGGGGGAAATGGATGGATGCAAACCCGAATCAGCACCCGTAGAAGCGCTGTCAACGAGCCCCAGGGGGCGTCAGAATCCATTCAACGGTAGGAATGCGCATCTGCGACTTGGGGCTCACGGCTGTGCCAAAAGTGAGTGTGGATACGCCATCGAATCATTCCCGCCGAAAGGGGACCTGGATGGAGTAACCAACGTGTTTCACAGATAATAACCGGGCACGTATCTTGATGTCCGTGTAAGTTGGACGTGAGGCGATGGATAATTTCTTGCATCTTAGAGGGAGGTACCTGGACTCCGAAATGCATATACCTGTGGTGCGTCCTGAATGGACAAGCCCAGCATCCTAATTTTTACCACCATTACATAATGTCAATTATTACACGTAACCAGCTCAACGTAAAATGTGGAAGACCAATGGTACGGTAAGTTAGACCTATGTCTATAAAGATTTGTTCAAACATAATAATCTCAATCTAAAGTAAGATTAATCTGCATGCTGTACTTACTTTGGGAGTTACTATGTTAGACTATATGTTAAGGCAACAAAAACATTGCCTCATGCAAACGTAAATAGTTTCTACCACACTAGTGTTTATACACCAACACATTGTATGTTATGTTTATCCACGTGCTAGTTACAATCAATTTAGCATATTGGTACGGAAAAAATGCTATTTTTCACCTATATTACAACATCATTCTCTGTCAAAAGCAGTAATATAACTTAAGATAGAGCTGTATCGATTGTAATGCGAAAAAATTTATCCGTGTTACCACTAGAAAAATGCCAGAAATGGAATAAAAGCCATTAGTCTTATATTGTCGTGAAAATTTATGAAAGAAAATTCTTTGATTACAGGCCATTAGGGCAGACTTTGAATTTATCTTGTTTCGATTCCAAATCTATTTTGCATTTAAAACTTTTTTGGAATTTTGAGTGGATTGCGTTGTTGAAAAAACTTGTTTGTTAGAACAAAGCACAAATGTATAATATCTCGCAAAATTTACTATAAATATGTAAATTTTGCAGAATATCATAGAAAAGTACCATTAGGTAGGAAAGCTGAAGAAGTAAGCCGTAGTAGGAGTAAGTAAGTAGCAACATAAATCTAAATAATATTAACAGTTCTACTAGTGAATTATACTTGCCCAATTTGTATGCCTTAGATAAATGTTTCAAGTTTTTGTTTACACTTTTACTACTCACGTTTTACTACTCACTAAGCTGCCGCCCACAGATACCACCAATGCTGGCACATATGGATTTAAAGTTGCATGGTTCACCTTTAAAACGTTAGCCTGGTCGCCTATTTCACCACAGCATATAAAGTAATAATGTTTAGACCTTACCGTCGCTTCTGCGTGATGCCGTGGTATTTTGGACTCGGACCCAAAATCGAAAAACAATACCATCTCTAAACATATTATTTACCAAAGGCGATATTATTTCGTGACGTTTTTTACGTCAAAACATAGCGGTTTAAGCTTAAAAATTAGCCGCTGTTGACCAAAAATAGACAAGAAGAATAAAGTTAAGATTCACACAAAAAAAAACTTTAGTTTACAATATTCTTTTAAATAATGTATGATAATGTTAACTATTAACCTTTTTTTTAAATGGAAGATTTACCGTGAGTAATCAGATTTAATGTTATACTCCAAAATAAGAGATCTTTTGTTGACTGATCACAGTATTATGCTTATAATTTAAATATTGTTTAATAATATTCATGAAACTGAAATCTTATGCAATCTACAATGACGGCGCTTTGTTTTTTTTTTTCGTGAGAGAGTATTCTTAACCAAGCATTTTAGTGTCTATACTAACGAGGTCGTCATAAAACACTGTAACTGTGAGTACAAACAAAAAGAACAAAGTCGCTTGAATAAAAATTCACTCAGATGCTTGAGATTCATTCGTCTTTTATCAAAGGCATCCCAAGAATCGTGTATAATTTCTACGCCATTGTAGCGCTTGCCGTGAAGACATTTCTGATCCTTCTATATATATATATATATATATATATATATATGAAAAATTATATCTGACATATGTCCACCGCGATCACGTACATAAATGTATTTAAATACTAGCTTTTCGCTCGCGTTGAAGCCCGTAAATAAATGTCTATCCCTTAAATAATATCTATAAGGACCCTTTATAGCCCTTTTTCCAATTAAAAAATAGCCTATTTCCTTTCTCAGGCCCTAGACTATTTGTGTACCAAATTTTATTTAAATCGGTTCAGTGGTTTTGGCGTGAAAGCGACTTTATTTTTATACTTATAAGCGAATTACTTTCGCATTTATAATATTATAGTATGGAAGTATGGATACAGATATATGTATAAATACAGATGCATAAGGTAAAATTGCGGGTGTCTCGTTAACCACGATACGGATTTTGAGTTTTAATGCTGCAATTCGATTCGGTTGGCTCTGTATACACTCTATCATTAACATAACTTCACAAAAATAATCTAGTGGTATTAAAGTACACGATCGAATCTCCCAATTTACAAATGAATTTCATGAAATTAATTCGTTCGGTAAATTTGATCTGCATTTATTGCATGATTTAATCGTTTCGATGGCTGTATGATATGTGGCAAATGCATGTTAGTGATATTCATGTCATCAATAATATGTCAAAATTTAACATTTCCGAAAAATTTTCGAAAAACATCTTGTTATTTTTATTAACGAAAAACAAAACCGACTTCAAATATCTCGCTCTGTATTCATTTTATAATTGACTTTCGGGGCTTCCCTACGTATCTCTGGAGCCCAAGTTCCAATACAAAGAAATTAATATGTGACCACATGGGAAGCACCAAAAGCTTTCAAATAAAAAGAAAGCATCAAAACCGGTTCATCCAGTTGAAAGTTCTGAGGTAACAAACATAAAAAAGTCTAATTGGGAACCTCCTTTTGAAGTTTAATATTACAAACAGACACTCCAATTTTATTTATCTATATAGATGTATAGAAATCGTTTTCTCATGGATGCCATTGTTAGAACTGGACCAATTGACTGAAATGGGTAATACACAGGAAGCACCGACTTTCAAATAAAAAAGACTCATCAAAATCTGTTCACCCACTCGAAAGTTCTGAGGATCTCCTTTTTTGAAGTCGAGAAGAGAAGAGAGAAGTTGAAAATAGCCTAAGCATGTCTACTGATCACATAGCGTACTATGAAGTGACACGTTCAGCATGTAAATGTTTCGCAATAATGGCTCTTGAATTTTCCGAAGGTCAAATGAGGCCGTTCTTGTTTAAGGACGACATCGAATGAAAATATAATCTTTACGTAGAAGCTTTTTCAGATCCACCATTTCCAGACAGAATTTTTAATATTTTAACGAGATTTCTGAGCGAGATGTAATTAATTCGAACAGCAACGGCCAAAGCTTTATTTGTTTTTTTTAATTTATTCATTTATTCCTGTTACACCAACAAGATGAATAAGTTTTAGACAATTTATATATAATAATTTCTTGTATTTACGCGATAACACATTACTAAATTTAACTATGTTTACGGATTTATCGTTTATTTTTTAGTTTTAATTCGCGACGTTTCGAACCTTTTACGGCATTCATGGTCACGGGACTGAGGCGTTGGACGTCCGAGTGTCATTGTTACTCCGGGATACCGCCAGTTTTTATTTATTTAATTTAAATAATGAAGCCTTTTTTTCATTTTGCAATTTACACATAATATGTTAATTACAGGATTGGTCCAAGGTCCAAACCACGATGCATTAAATTTAACGAAAAAGAACTTAAGACTATCGGCGAGAAAAAAAAAAGTAATGTTTTGTGTTAGGGCGACGCAACAGTCTTAGCTGTTTTAGTAGAAGTGGTAGTAAGCGAGCATGCGGCTTGCCCCGGGCAATAAACGATTATCGTTGCCAATGCCACTAACTGTGGCAGGACCACGCAACATTCTTCGCTGTTGCACAAATGGACAGATCGTTATCGACCTCACAGAAAACCGTAAAGTGGAACTGTTATACTACTTGGGCGGCGCGGTTTCATACACGTTTTTTTTACTTTTCACCAGTTTATATTGTACGCCAGTTCTAAAGCAGGGAATTACGGCCGCACAGAAAGCCCGAGTGAATTGAAAGCGTTTACAGTCGGCCTCTCCTCATCAATCTTATTTGTAAAGGATTTTCAAAGGAAATTTCTCAAGGCCCGCCCGGAATTGGTTACGCTTTCTGCGGAGTATCGTAAGCTTTCCGTGTACATCAGAGTGGACGTACCCGCGTTTAATATTGAACGACGAAGGCTCGGAACTTTTAAAAAGCCACTATCGTGTGCCATCGGTAATTCCCGTTCAACCAACCGGAATTAACATAATATCCGAAATTGAAACTATTTATTTATTTATTTATATTTTATGCACAAGCTGTACAGAGGCGGACTATATCTATTCCACCTGATGTTAAGATATATTTTTTTGCTGTGAAATAATCTTATTATGCCCTGTTGGCTAAGGGTTTCGATGCTTTGCAGATCATATTATGGAATACCGATGGCATGATGATTTACGAAAAATCAAAACGAAAAATTAATCCGTTTTTAACGCCTTGGAGCTATTTATAAAACATTGATAAGTAAACTCGTGCCAAGGGTGCCCCGCATCAACTATTTTTCTATTTATTTTCTCTATTTTTTTTATTGTTATGAAATAAAAAAAAAATATCATCCCTAGTTGTGTACTGATCGTCTCAGCATCCACAGTATCGCGCCTAGACGCTTTAACCAGTAGTAAGTTAAAACAAAAGTGGATACTCTTCTTAGAGATTTTCGTCATTGTAGCAGCTTAGTGGTAAAAGCGTGTTTCGTCAAATTTAACCGGTCGATATGTCCGGTGCGATATGGCGCATAATGAATGTTACAAATTTACGATTTTCCAGCTACCAGATCGACAACGAATGACCTATGAATATTGATGAGAATAACACTGATGTAGCTGCCCCAAAATTAGATACCGTTGTTCACCAATATTATATTAATTTTTTATTGGTGAATTACAATGAAACGTATTATTTTTTAACCGACTTCAAAAAGGAGGTGGTTCTCAATTCGACTGTATTTTTTTATGTTTGTTGCCTCAGAGCGCTTGAATTCAGTCCATTTCAGTCATTTCATCAAAACAATATGTCTTTTTGCATCAGTCCGACTATTCGATATT